CCCCAAAACCCCAAAACCCCTGCTATATATATGTAAACAAGCAATTTCTTATGCAAAAATATATATCGAGGTAATATATTAAAATTATCTCGTTAAATCTCATAGAGTTGTGGTTTATCAATTCAGATAGCAATTCAGCATCATATCTTAAGTTTTCTTTTAGCCTTAGTATCTAAAGCTCTTAGAGCTAGAATATCAAGCATCTGTCTTGCATCAAATACATTTCTTCCTGGTATATGCATATCCTTGAGAGTTTCCCAAAGAGCTGAACACTCTAGTTCACGCTTCTTAAGTTTCTTGGCGAGTTCCTTTTCAATTTGGCGACTTCCACCTTATCCACCCATCTCTAACTGCTTTAATAGCTTCTCACTCTCGATATGTAAAATCTTGTTATCATTCTTAAGATCCTCTATCTCCTATTTCATGTTAGCATAAATGCCAGCCCACTCGTTCTTTTATTTTGTGATCTAAGCATCCTTTTCGTTTGCCAACTAGATGTAATGATCTATTTATCTTTAGCAATCTCTTTCCTTATCATGAATAAGATGTTTGAGTTCCTTGATTTCATCTTATAAATGAATGACTGCATTGTTCTATGGGCCTTAGGATCTAGACTTGGATAATAGATCAACTTCGTTATTAAGTGACCCAATTTTATCTCTCAGAAGACGATTCTCTTATTTTATAGTATCGTTTTCTCTCTTTAAAAGAGAATTAATCTCATTTTCAGCATGTCTATCTCCACCATTTCTATCAAGTCTGTGATTAAGACTGCGAATTTCATTATCTCTATTATCAAGCTATCTTTGGAAATCTTCGATCTATTGTCTCATTTCTTCTCTAAGTTTACCGTTTTCTCTTTCCATAACTTCTAATCTACGTTTATACTCAAGAATTTGACCATCAGCCTCATTGAGCTGCTCCATCAAATCTCTGTTAATTTGCTCCTTTCTCGTTGACTTATTGTTTTCTAGTTCTTTGATTCTTGATCTCTACTCTTCAACACATTTCCTCAAGTCATTGATCTCATTATTAGAGCTTGAACCACCATAATTACTCTTTCCGTGAGATTTAGAGCCGACCAATTCCTTTCTTTCTTTTTGAATTTAATCTCCCAAATAAGAAACTAAGTCCAATAAGTCAGTCTTTTGTTGGATCTCTGTCTACAGATCTTTCAGAGTTACAATGTTCATTTGTTCAAGCTATTGCACAAGTCTAAAACATAAATCTAAGTTAATATTACTTTTCAGCACTACTAATGTCTCCTTTAAGTACTGCATTCTTAATCTTCTTAAAACTGTTATCAGCTTCACTGCACTTAATGATCAACATCTTGATTAAGGAGATTTTGTCATGAATACCATTGTCAAGTTCTTTCAAAATTTCTCTCACTTCTTTGGAGTTTCCAACATGATTATCATTTCTATCTTCAAATGCTGGTCTGTCTGGAGAGCCGAAACCGTTAGCTGAGGAGTCAGCAAATTGAAGTCTTCTTTAGGGTGATGGGAATGCACCTTTCTCAGCTGATAGCTAGCCCTTATTCTTATTTTCTTTGTTTGGAGTCTTACCCACACTCATCTTAAATTTCTTGAGATCCTTTTGCACTTCTTTGGTCACTACTTTATTCAATAATTATTGTGAGATGTTTTGAAGAGGTTGACCAAGAGCCTCCCTCATTTAAGATTTCACTTATCTTTCTAAGAAATCATATAATGACTCTCCCTAATGATTAGAATTAATAAGATGGAATTGATTACTGTTCTACGGTCTTATTTCTTAGCCAGTAGTGCCTCGTATCTTTCCTCATCTGTAACTTCTGGGGCATCTTCATCTTCATTCACAATTTGCTAAGCTTGAACCTCCAGATAGGTTAGATCTCTTTGCTTTTTAGCACTTAACTGCATTTTTTATTGTTTAAATTCTAACGATCTATAATCAATTTAATATTTCAGTGATTTCAATCTTTGAAGATCTATCATTAAGGGGTTTTGGGGTTTTGGGGAGATCGGAAGAGCACACGTCTGA